AAGAAGTCCAGTGACTCTGAAGCTGGTCCTAGTGGCATTAAAAGAAGAAGGGAAGTAACCCCAGAAAAGGACTTGCTACCTCAAGTCCTAATGGAAGGGGATTCCCCTTCTAAACACTAACACTCTCTCTCCCCTCCTCCCATCCCATCAATCATCACCAGATCTTCAATAAAAGTAAGTGTCATGTAATTGTGCATGCCTTTTTCAGTTTGTGTGTACTAAAATTAACATTTTTTTGTGGTAAAAAAAATTTTTTTTCATACTTTTGGGTGTCTTGCACGGATTAATTTTTTTTCCATTATTTCTTATGGGGAAAATTCATTCGCATAGCGAACATTTCGCATAACAGCCAGCCCTCTTGCACGGATTAAGTTCGCTATGCGGGGGTCCACTGTAATTTTAAAAATTATGTAATGAATATAAATCAAGTTTCTCTCCATTACAGCATTATTTTGTAAACAATATAATTTTAAATTGTTGAATTTATCCAATAAATGCAAAGCAGAATTCTGAAATGTTTGACATACAGGACAGAGTAGATATATTACTATTATTATTATTAGTACAGTGGAACCCCCGCATACCGTTGGCCTTGCATAATGTTATTAAATCCGCATACCGCTACATTTTATCGCCAAGATTTTGCCTCGCATACCGCTAAAAAACACCGCTCAACGCTGTTCGTCCGAGACGCGTCTAATGTGCGCCCTTAGCAGCCTCACATGTTCCGCCGGTGGCATTGTTTACCAGCCAGCCTCCGCGGTAACATCCAAGCATACAATCGGAACATTTCGTATTATTACAGTGTTTTTGGTGATTTTATCTGCAAAATAAGTGACCAGTGGCCCCAAGAAAGCTTCTAGTGCCAACCCTACAGCAATAAGGGTGAGAATTACTATAGAGATGAAGAAAAAGATCATTGATAAGTATGAAAGTGGAGTGCGTGTCTCCGAGCTGGCCAGGTTGTATAATAAACCCCAATCAACCATCGCTACTATTGGTGGTACAGCTGCTGCTGCTGCTGTACCACCGTCAGCTGCTGCTGCTGCTGTAGTACCGTCTGCTGCTGCTGTAGCATCGTCTGCTGCTGCTGTAGCACTGTCAGCTGCTGCTGCTGCTGCTGTACCACCGTCAGCTGCTGCTGCTGCTGTAGCATCGTCTGCTGCTGACTGTAGCATTGTCTGCTGCTGCTGTAGCACTGTCAGCTGCTGCTGCTGTACCACCGTCAGCTGCTGCTGCTGCTGCTGTAGCATCGTCTGCTGCTGCTGTAGCATCATCTGCTGCTGCTGTAGCACTGTCAGCTGCTGCTGCTGCTGCTGCTGTACCACCATCAGCTGCTGCTGCTGCTGTAGCATCGTCTGCTGCTGCTGTAGCATTGTCTGCTGCTGCTGTAGCACTGTCAGCTGCTGCTGCTGCTGTACCACCGTCAGCTGCTGCTGCTGCTGTACCACCGTCAGCTGCTGCTGCTGCTGTAGCATCGTCTGCTGCTGCTGTAGCATCGTCTGCTGCTGCTGTAGCACTGTCAGCTGCTGCTGCTGCTGTACCACCGTCAGTTTGCTGCTGCTGCTGTAGCATCGTCTGCTGCTGCTGCTGCTGTAGCACCGTTGTTGGTGTGGCTTATTGAGAATACCAAGAAACAATTAACCCCAGAGGATTTACCACCCAGGATAACCCAAAAAAGTCAGTGTCATCGAAGACTAACTTGTTTCCATTGGGGTCCTTAATCTTGTCTCCCAGGATGCAACCACACACAGTCGACTAACACCCAGGTGAACAGGGAAAATATGCCTGGAACTAGTGCTCATGTTGGTGAATTTAAGAGCCAGCAAAGCTTGTTTTTAGAGATTTAAGAATCGTAGTGGACATACACAGTGTGATAAGGCTGTTCTGGAAGAAAATGCCAACAGGGCCACAGTACTCAGGAGGGAAAAAGGGACTCCCAGGAAAAGTGTCTCATTTTGTACCTTCATGTTCTGTAGGATAATAGGTTTGAAGATACAAATGACCTGTTCCTAAGTTGAAACAATTGCAGTGCAACTTATTTGTAAATTGAGAACCCTGTATTACAAATGTTCAATGAGCTATAATTTATACAAACAAATAAATAAACATATTCACAACTCACTATAATCCAAAGATGAAAATCTTTTAAGGAAAATACCTGCTGTATAAGCAGGGCCGGAACCTAATCTGCTGTATAAGCAGGACCCTACAGTAGCCCATAACTGAACCTGCTGTATAAGCAGGACCCTACAGTAGCCCAGAACCTAATCTGCTATATAAGCAGGACTCTACAGTAGCCCAGAACCTAACCTGCTATGTAAGCAGGGTCCTACAGTAGCCCAGAACCAAACCTGCTGTATAAGTGGGGCCCTACAGTAGCCTGAAACCTAATCTGCTGTATAAGCAGGGCCCTACAGTAGCCCAGAACCTAACCTGCTATATAAGCAGGGTCCTACAGTAGCCCAGAACCTAACCTGCTATGTAAGCAGGGTCCTACAGTAGCCCAGAACCTAACCTGCTATATAAGCAGGGTCCTACAGTAGCCCAGAACCTAACCTGCTATGTAAGCAGGGTCCTACAGTAGCCCAGAACCTAACCTATGTAAGCAGGGTCCTACAGTAGCCCAGAACCTAACCTGCTATATAAGCAGGGTCCTACAGTAGGCTGGAACCTAACCTGCTGTATTAGCGGGGCCCTCCTGTAGTTAAAATATTTAAAGAACAGCAGTTTAGCCTGATCTAGTATTAAAAGTATTCACCTTTGTAAGCCAGAACAGAAACCTAAGAAAAAATAATTAAATTTCATAAACTTAACAGAATTATATCAAATTTCACATCTTTTGCTACAAATAAAAATGTTAATATTTTATTGAAAATTTAAAGTCTCGAGGGATTCTATGGCCATATGACTTTCCTGATAGCTGCAACAGAATTCACAGGCATAACACCAGACATAAACATCTCTACGAAACTCCTGTGAACAGGTGCTCCTCAGGTGAAGATGGTATGACTGATGATATTTTGACTTTACAATGGTACAAAAGCAATTACTTTGGAGATGTCGATAAATTAGACACATGTGCAACTCTTGGGTATCTTTATTGAGGAAACGTTTCGCCACACAGTGTGGCGAAACGTTTCCTCAATAAAGATACCCAAGAGTTGCACATGTGTCTAATTTATCAACATGTCGGTTCTCTGAACCATCCATCTACTTTGGAGATGAAACTTAAGATAATTACCCAGCATGAAGGCAGCAAGTCTGCAACGTGTATTCATTTATTTATTTTTCAATACTAGTATTTAGTTATGATAATTATTGTTTATTTACTTTTTTTTTTTTTTTTTTCCAACAAGTCGGCCGTCTCCCACCGAGGCAGGGTGACCCAAAAAAGAAAGAAAATCCCCAAAAAGAAAATACTTTCATCATCATTCAACACTTTCACCACACTCACACATTATCACTGCTTTTGCAGAGGTGCTCAGAACACAACAGTTTAGAAGCATATACGAATAAAGATACACAACATATCCCTCCAAACTGCCAATATCCCAAACCACTCCTTTAAAGTGCAGGCATTGTACTTCCCATTTCCAGGACTCAAGTCCGACTATATGAAAATAACCGGTTTCCCTGAATCCCTTCACTAAATATTACCCTGCTCACACTTACTTCTTCTTACTTATTTAGCATATCATAATCATATTTGACTGTTTGCTCCTTCTAAACTGTTGTATCCGAGCGCCTCTGCAAAGACAATGATTATGTATGATTGATGGTGAAAGAGTTGAATGATGAAGAAAGTATTTTTTTCTTTCTTTTTGGGTCACCCTGCCTCGGTGGGAAACAGCCGATGTGTTAAAAAAAAAAAATCGTATTTGACTTAAGATATTTTCGACTGATGATGGTTCGTTGGAACATAATCCCATCATAAGTCAAGGAGCAACTGTGGTTACTATGTGCATAAAAGTACCTAAACTCTGTAACTCTTTGCCTGAAAATTCCTGAGACTCACTGTCTGCTAACCACTTCAAAGCTTATGTTAAAATACACCTCCTTATCTTAATGTGATCCTGACAACAGTTTATTATGTTGAACAAATCCTGAAACGTCGTCGTTCATCCATTATTATTCCATCCTTCCTTCAGATCTTATTTATTACTAGAAAAGCATTTATATCCTTATATCAATTCAGGTACCTAGTTTCATCTTTGAGTTTTTTAATAGATTACCAAATGCCTTCAATATAGTATAAACTAAGTATGTATTTTCATTTTCAAATACTATGCATGTCTCATTGTCTAACATAAGTTAGTTTTAAGGTTGCTCAAAATGCTTTGCATAACAAGGGGCTTTCTATAAAATAGTTTATACATGTCAATTACATAATTTTACACTGTACACTATGCCATTTTATAGAAATAAAATTGTCTTTGCTAGAAAACCTTAATTTGCGCTATCATACCTCACATTATCAATATTATACCATTTAAATTTACTTTTTAATTTCCAACAGAAGTACAGTACATCATTTCCATTAAAGAAATGTACATGAGCAGAATTCATTTTCATTGGTAGCAAGCATTTCACTTAATGAGTGCTGTGGCAGGCTATATTATATAAAGTTTAGTGGAGAGTGCACCTCTGCCAACCATACTGCCACTGAAAAGTTCCCAGCCAAGCTTTTGTGCCTTATAAATATGATGATGGTAAACGATACAAACTAGTTGAAAGTAAGATACATGTGCAACAGTTAGGTATCTTTATTCTAAAACACTTCGCCTCCACAGCAGGCATCTTCAGTTAGGTTACAGAGAAGGCAGCAGGAGCAGTAGAGCTGTAAACACTTTACTACTCGAAGTTAGTTGGACAATGTCTAAATAAATCCACATTCTGTCACTATCTTCCGAATATATTACACTGTGAAAAAAGCTTCACAACACGGTTGAGTTTGTTGTTCACTGCCTACAATGAAATATTAATAAAAATTTAAATACTGTACCCCTCTCTCTGATGTCTTTTGAGCTTTCCATTCTTGCCGCATACTGAGTAGTAGCCGTTCCCCCTCCCTGACCCTGCTGCCCTAGCTCTAGTTCTTCTATTTGATCCTTGGCAACCTGTTGGAATATTTTCATACAAATTGTGCACTAAGATAAGATTATATTAAATGGATTATTGTAATTATAATGAATGCATAAAAAGAGTTCAAACTTGACACTTAACATACTATTTTTAAATAGGAAAGATTTGCAATTAAAACACGATTCTTCAGAAATATCTGTACTGCTACATACTTGAAAGACAATCAACAGAATGGAAAACCAAGATAATGCTGTAATAATGAGAATATCTGAAAGACAATTGACAGAATGGACAAACCTAAGATAATGCTGTAATAAAAGTATACATAAACTTTAATCAGCATAACCTGAGCTCACTCACCTGGAGCTCCATCGCAAGGTTCTTGCTGTAGTGGTTCAGACGATTATTTTCATCTTTTAACGCTTTCTTCTCGTCCTGCAAGCCCCTCAGTAAGCCCTCTAAATGGTGTAGTTTTACTTGAAGATGCTCTGTCGCCTGGGCATTCTGACAAAGTTGTCTCAGGACATCCTTCAGTTTATCAATATCCTTAAGTTCTTGGTGCTTTAGTGTGGTCAAATTCATGAAGGATTCATCTTGGCTCAGTAAGAGGCTGAGGCTCTCTGAGAGATCATTAAGATCTTGTGGAGATAATGCAGTGAATACCTGAGAGAGTGATGGCTGATCAGGCACACCTGCAGTATCCTCCAGTAAATGAGGCATTTTCTCAGTGCTTTTCAAAAGATGCATTAGTTTCTTTTTAGCACTAAACACAGCTGCTAAAGTCCCATAGCCACCAGATTCACTTTTCTCTTCAGGCTTTGTCTGTACTTTGTCATCTTCTGGAGCATTACCCATTGTATTATCCTCATCTTTACTAGTAGTATCACTAATGTGATGCTGACTCAGATCATTCACTGTCTCCTTCACACTATCACTTTCAATTTCATCTTTAACAGTGTGAGAAGAAAATTCTTGATTATCAGAAGATAGTGAATGCATAAATATTTTTAACATTCCTGCTGAAGCTTGTAGTGAAATGGTTAACTCCTGAACTTCCTTCTCCAAATTTTCCACAACTACCCGATCCCAACGGCCTTTCAAAATAGACATCAGCTGTGGGTATGATTTAGTGAGTATATTACGGACTTGCTCGTCCTTGTCCATATCCTCCAGCATTCCTTCACTCATTGCAGTACTATCTAACACTGATTCTGAGTTACTTGCTACCTCTGTATCTTCACTATGATAGGCAAAAACTGTCTTGCCAAGAAGTCCTGTTGAGAGAACACTGTCTTCTGTGAGCATGTGTAGTTGGCTGGCATAATTGTCATCTGGCATACAATCAGATAAAAATGAGAGATCCACAATCTTGCCACTAGACAACTCAGGCTGCTCGATGGAACCATGGTCTTCATTCATTTTGTGATCTTGAGATTTGTTAGTATAACTTTCAGCAACACTGTAGTAATGTAGTAACTGTAGTGTTACATGTGACAGTAGGCCCACTGTTTTCTTGTACCAGTCCCTGCAACATGGTAGGCTTAAGTACACTTTTTTGTTTTCACCAAACCTATGGGTACAAACTCAAATCCAGGGCCCTCAAGGCATTAAATCACTCGACAAAATTCTATTTCAAATTGAACATACCTAACAAAATCAAGTATAATCACATGCAACCTGGCACCTGGTTGCCCATCAATTTGTTCCTATCTTTTTTTACCCTGTATTCTGGAATTAAAACAAGACATGCAAAATTATGCAAATATATTTGAGGACATAATTCATAATCCCTCATCTTAGTTTTAATCATTGGTATTATGAAAGGCTATGTTAAGGTACCTGCTTTTATTTAGCTTCATCAAAAGTAGGGAAACCCTGAAGATCCACATGCTCAAAGCCCAAGGGAACTGGATATGAAATTTTGTACATGCAACAAGTTTTGTGAATTAGCTGATCAGAGTATAGCTAACACAATAAATAATGAAAGTATGTAATGAACTAAATTTGGATAAAATAAAATTTTATTGGCAATATTATGCAAGAAAAACATTTAAAAATAAAAGAAGTGCAAGAACCAACCTGTCACTGTAGAGGCTCTGCAGGTGCCGCTGGAATAGGACAGAGTTAACATCAGTTGCAGGTTCTATTATCTTGTGAAGCTTGCCATTTGCATCTTCCAGCTACATAAGACAAGCAGGGGACACCAACACGCACCAGAGGCACAAAAACGAAGGTGGTTATGGGAAGGTTAGTACAAATAAACAGGGAGTTAATGCAAGGCGGACAAAAGGCAGATGTCAGAAATAATGCCTTAACCCTTAAACTGTCCAAACGTAGATATACGTTGACGTGCGGCAGGCTTCGAACGTAGATCTACGTTTTTTTTACATGGTCTCAAATGGGGAAAATCAAGGTTGGAGCACTACACACGTGAACGTAGATCTACATTTGGACAGTTTAAGGGTTAATCATGCATATAATGCACACTACACAGCACTACTTGTATTAAATCTAATAAAATCACTTAAGCTTTACACACAAATATTTGTAAAAAATTAAGATAAGTACAGGTAATCAAAATCATTGAGCTGCACAAATATAAAATATAAACACATGCTAAAAAAATATAATAAGTATGCAATTTTTTCAACACTTTATAATAAATCTTTCAAAAAATAAATATATCAAAAGACAAAAAGAAAATAATTAAGAAGCACACAAAAGCATTACAGTATACTTGAGCAAGCCAAAGCAATACACCCAAGCCCACCAAGTAGGAGTTATGACCTATTAACCATGAGTTAAACCTTAGGCTTGGACATGAGAGGCCAAGAAGAAAGCTCCCAAATGAATTCTGCATGTAGATACTGATGTAATGAAACAAATATTTACATGTGGAAATTAAGAGGAGGTGTGGAGTCACTGAAAGTATTAGTCAGAGGGCTGAAGAGGGGTTCTTGAGGTGGTTTGGTCAATTAGAGAGAATGGAACAAAGTAGAATGACTTGGAGAGCATATAAATCTGCAGGGGAAGGAAGGTGGGGTAGGGGTCATCCTCAAAAAGGTTGGAGGGAGAGGGTAAAGAAGGTTTTGTGGGCGAGGGGCTTGGACTTCCAGCAAGCATGCGTGAGTGTATTAGATAGGAGTAAATGGGACCTGATGAACTGTTGGAGTGTGAGCAGGGTAATATTCTGTGAAGGGATTCAGGGAAACCGGTTAGCTGGGCTTGAGTCCTGAAAATGGGAAGTACAATGCCTGCACTTTAAAGGAGGGGTTTTGGGATATTGGCAGTTTGAGGGACTTCTAAACTGTCGTATCTGAGTGCCTCTGCAAAGACAGTGCTTATGTATGAGTGATGGTGAAAGTGTTGAATTATGATGAAAGTATTTTTCTTTCTTTTTGGGTCACCCTACCTTGGTGGGAAATGGTCTGTGTTAAAAAAAAAAAAAATTACATGTTCTCTGTATACCACTCAACACTTTTTCCTTAATTTTAATTACAGTTACTGTGCTCAATATATTATGTCAATAGTTTCTTGAGGCTTCTACATTTACTCTTTCTTTTTTTATAAACTATTTGTGTTTATATTGTCAACATGAAAATCTAGTCAGGTTGTGAGGGTAGAAGCCCCCTTCAAAAAGACTCACAGGTGTGTACGAAAATATATATTTTTTAGCATATCTTGTATTGTTCTATACCACAACATAAACTTGTATAACCTATCACCAAAGTGAATTATGAGGTAAGAGTACAAAGAACCAACATGCCACCCTTTATCTGTATCCCTAGATGAAGTGTCGTGAAATGTCAGTTTACTTTATGTTTGTGACAGGTACAGTACTGCCATCCTTCTTGAAAGGAAAGCCTAGCTGCAAATTATGGGTGACTTAAGATTAAAACCTTTAACAAATACCAGAACTTGTTACTTTCACTATAATGAAGTTTAGTAATAATAGTAGGATTACCAACAAAATGTTGGGTAAATTAGTTGCACATGTCCACTTGTCTAACAAACTGAAGTTTCCCTTAAATTTCAGAAAGATGTAAAGCCAAGGTTACAAACCCTCAATATTCAATATAATCAGTGAGCAGACTGATTGTGATACAAGTATCATCCTTTACTACCAGTTTCCAGGCTTCTGGATTTGCACCTGCTGAACAAAAGATTTTTTATCTCAGCATGCTCTATAATATATTTTAAATAAAATGATAAACAGCTCTTGCTTGGTGTAGGTAATGTCGTTAAGATGGGAATAGCAAAACTAACGGAGAAATTAAAAAAAAAATACGTATGGTTAAAGTTAAAAATAGTATTCAAAACATTTATGAAGGGATTCAGGACAAGTGGTTAGCCAGATATGAGTTGTGAAAGTGGGAGGTAAAGCACAGTGACTGTTCTCTGAAGGACAGGTGGGTGTGTTACAGCTCGCTGTTTTATTTTAATTGTGATGCTCATGCATTTTTGGAATGAGCAAAGTAACATTCATGAAGGTATTCAGGGAAACCAGTTAGCTGGACTTGAATCCTGGAGGTGGAAAATACAGTGCCTGCACTCTAAAGGAGGGGTGGAGATATGTTGCAGATTTTTAACTGTAGTGAAGGCATACTTTTGACAAGACAGTGATGGAGTGAATGATGATGAAAGTGTTTCTTATTTTTTTCAGGTCACCTACCTTGGTGGAAAGTGGCCAATATGTTAATAAAAAAAACTAGAGAATGACTATGCTATATTACACACAAATCCAGCAGAAGAGACATACTGGATACAAGGTATTTCTGACAAATCTGGTAGAAACCTGGTGCAGAGATAACTTATAATGATGTTTCACTCTCTGAGCACAGCTTAATCAAGACTAGATTGTGCTCTACCCACAGAAAAACATATATCCTAAAGGTGTGCTCTGCACCAAGTATCTTTCTGCCCAAGGAAAATTACTTCATAATTCCATCAACTGGAAGTGGTGAAGTACTGATCAGTATTTCAAGGAAAACAACAACTCTACCAGGTGTTTTAAATTCTTAAATAAAAGAATAATGTACTACCATTTGATTGTGTAAAAAGTATTAACAAATACGGATTTAACAAGTATAGTAGTACATAAAAAATTTGAACACAGCCAACACAAGCTTCATGTGCTACACCAATTAAAACCCACACAACATTATGACAGATACTAGTGCAAAGACAGACAATGCAATGTTTCAGTGAATTGTTTTATTACATTTTAAAAAGTAATAGCACAAAACTATTTCTAGTTCTGCAGAACTCGACTGAAATCTTTTATGAATAAACTTCACTAACACATTACTCACAAAACCTTGGGTATAAGTTCACCAGTTACTGTCAATAATATACAGTGGACCCCCGCATAACGATTACCTCCGAATGCGACCAATTATGTAAGTGTATTTATGTAAGTGCGTTTGTACGTGTATGTTTGGGGGTCTGAAATGGACTAATCTACTTCACAATATTTCTTATGGGAATAAATTCGGTCAGTACTGGCACCTGAACATACTTCTGGAGTGAAAAAATATCGTTAACCGGGGGTCCACTGTATTATAAACAATAACCATTTAAAAGAGAAACTTTTGTTTTTTCTTTTTAGGCGACCTTGCTTCCCTGGGATACAGCCAGTTCGTTCAAAAAAAAAATAAATAAATAAATAAATAAAAAGCACAATAACCTGTGATAAAAAGTACAACACTCAAAACATTTCACAAAAATCAAACATGCAGAGGAAAAAACAGAGCACATCACCCTAACATTATTTGCTAGTAATCGAGGCATACCCTGCTAATACAAAGTTTTGCTTTAGAGCGCTTCACTAATATACTGCATTTTGAACTGTATTCACATTTAGAATTTTCAACGGTGAAGCACAACAGGTTAGCAATACAGTACTATATCAAATTATTATTTTTACTTTTGTATCTTTTTTTTTTTTTTAGGCCTAGTGTTACTGCACAATAAATGATAAATGCTTTCAGGCCTTTATATGCACTGACAAGTGAAATAAGGTTGCAATTCACTTTAAGGCGATATTCGCCTAATGTCGGTGGTCTGGAACCTTATAAGCCATTTTTTTTTTTTTTAACAAGTTGGCCGTCTCCCACCAAGGCAGGGTGACCCAAAAAGAAAGAAAATCCCCAAAAAGAAAATACTTTCATCATTAAAAATCTCGCTCACACATAATCACTGTTTTTGCAGAGGTGCTCAGAACACAACAGTTTAGAAGCATATGCGTATAAAGATACACAACATATCCCTCCAAACTGCTAATATCCCGAACCTCTCCTTCAGAGTGCAGGCATTGTACTTCCCATTTCCAGGACTCAAGTCCGGCTATATAAAATAACCGTATTAACCATATTAGCAAGATATGCCTCTACTTTAAAAAGAAAAACACCACTTATTAATGTTATCAATGAGTATGACTTTCAGAAGACACTAAGTGCAGTGGTTCTCATCTCTGGAAAACTACTCTAGAATGACACTTGCATGCAAACTTCCAGCTTATCTTTACTCAACACACAAGGTCCCCAACTTACAAATTAATCAAGTAATGGATTTTTAAACTTCAAAACAAGCAGAATTCTCAGTTTTTAACTTGCAAACAGAGTTGACCATCTGGTTTTTCAACTTATTATTATTATTATCATCATTATTATTATTATTATTTTTTTTTTTTAACAAGTCGGCCATCTCCCACCAAGGCAGGGTGACCCAATAAACAAAGAAAATCCCCAAAAAGAAAATACTTTCATCATCATTCAACACTTTCACCTCACTCACACAATCAGTTTTTGCAGAGGTGCTCAGAACACAACAGTTTAGAAGCATATACCTATAAAGATACACAACATATCCCTCCAAACTGCTAATATCCCAAACCTCTCATTCAGAGTGCAGGAATTGTACTTCCCATTTCCAGGACTCAAGTCCGGCTATATAAAAATAACCGGTTTCCCTGAATCCCTTCACTAAATATTACCCTGCTCACACTCCAACAGATCGTCAGGTCCCAAATACCATTCGTCTCCATTCACTCCTATCTAACACACTCACGCACACTTGCTGGAAGTCCAAGCCCCTCGCCCACAAAACCTCCTTTACCCCCTCCCTCCAACCTTTTCGAGGACGACCCCTACCCCGCCTTCCTTCCCCTACAGATTTATATGCTCTCCATGTCATTGTACTTTGATCCATTCTCTCTAAATGACCAAACCACCTCAACAACCCCTCTTCAGCCCTCTGACTAATACTTTTATTAACTCCACACCTTCTCCTAATTTCCACACTCCGAATTTTCTGCATAATATTTACACCACACATTGCCTTTAGACAGGACAACTCCACTGCTTCCAATCACCTCCTCGCTGCTGCATTCACAACCCAAGCTTCACACCCATATAAGTGTGTTGGTACTACTATACTTTCATACATTCCTTTCTTTGCCTCCATAGATAAAGTTTTTTGTCTCCACATATACCTCAATGCACCACTCGCCTTTTTTCCCTCATCAATTCTATGATTAACCTCATCCTTCATAAATCCATCCACCGACACGTCAACTCCCAAGTATCTGAAAACATTCACTTCTTCCATACTCCTCCTCCCCAATTTCATATCCAATTTCTGTATCTAAATCATTTGATACTCTCATCACCTTACTCTTTTCTATGTTCACTTTCAACTTTCTACCTTTACACACACTCCCAAACTCATCCACTAACCTTTGCAATTTTTCTTTAGAATCTCCCATGAGCACAGTATCATCAGCAAAAAGCAACTGTGTCAATTCCCATTTTGTATTTGATTCCCCATAATTTAATCCCACCCCTCTCCCGAACACCCTAGGATTTACTTCTTATTATATTAAAAAACAACATTGAACCCACGTGTAAAATACTGTTTTGACCTCTGTGAGCAAGTTGATTTCCCTTCATTACAAGTTACAATTGAGCTGTGCTGCTGGTCTCTCAACTTACAAATGAGTCAGGTTCCTGATCTCTCAAGTTACAAAAGGACTGAGTTTCTGGCACAGGATTTCAACTTATAAATGAATAGTTTGCATGCAAGCAGATGCCAAACTTTAACAAGTACCAGAGAGAACTGTTATGTAAGTGCATTTGGTACATTTGGTACATTTGGTACATTTGTAAGCATGGGGACCTACACTCTTAGTCTATCACATTACATATAGACTATTCGAAACACACTATGCACGATAAAAGCTATGTTACGATGTTTCTCATATAATGGGAATTTACCAAGTATTTCATGAAGCCCCACTGTGAATGAACCATTGTAAAATAAAAAATTTTACCTGCTCGAATTATCTGTCAGTTTATGGCACTGTCTACTCCTCTACCTACATCTACTTACCTTGCTGCAAAAACTATGAATGATTGTACCACATAAAATTAGGATTACTAGTATGAAGTTAGTTATGAAAAGTGACAGATTAAAGAATGAAACACTTATGCAACATTTGGGCAGTTTCACTGACGAAACGTTCCACCAGCCAGTGGCTTCTTCCGTCCAATACAGAGAACGACAGATGAGGAGTTTGAGATAATCAGTTCCTCAGTCTGGCATCAATGTAGACTGAAGAAGCCACTGGCTAGCAAGACGTTTCATTAATAAAGATTCCCAAATATTGCACGTGTCTCATTCTTCATTACTTATTGCTTTTTATATTTAGTGCTATGTAATCTCAGTCCCATTAACAATATTCTACAAATTACTTCATTATATTCATCACTACTATGCTCTATCCCTCTCTTAAACATCCTTTATTATACATACACTGCAGTATACCATTACCATATAAACACTGCATTATACTATTAATATACATTTTGTACAAACTGCCCTATACCATAAATATACAATCATGTCACTAGGTTAAAAGATAATAAGCAGGACTAAGAGCTTGGCTCAGTCCCCCCACAACCTAAGTAGGTAACTACACAATAGGCAATGCCTAGATTGCACTCTACCATTAAGAAACTCTACACTGTACCATTAGCATACACATACTGTGTTGTACCATTAGCATACAATGCACTGCACCATTACCATACATGCTGTACTGTAACCTTATCATATATACTGTATTGTACCATTAGCATACACGGCACATACCATTAGCATACACATAGACTGTATCATACCACTATCAAATGTACAGTGTATTGTTCCATTAGAAAACTTGTAATACATAAATGTTATATGCACATTTTTAAAGTAAATCTTAATAAGCATTGCAAAATGTATTTAATTACGTTACTTATCACTGACGTAATCAGAAATATTATACAGCCTCTCTTCACTTAACGACGGAGTTTCATTCCTATTCCTAATACCACATCAACAAACAAATTCATCGCTAAACAAGGAGCATACTATAATGGTAGTGGGTTTATGTCAACCATCTTTGATACTGCTTTAATGTCACCCTTGTACCATTTATAACATTTTAAATGTTTATACAGTAGTATACTGTATATTGTAATAAACAGAATAGAGGAAATCAGTTTTGATATAGTACATTATTTAAGTATGCATACTGGTCAGAGAGCTCGTCTTAAGTCTGAGTCGCTGGTAAACGAGTATGTCACTAAGTGAGGAGAGGTTGTATACTAAACAAAATTATAAATAACTTCATAATCAACTACAAGTACAAACATGTATTAAACAGATACAAACTAAATACAAATTCACGAACAGGCAGGCCCCGCTTTACAGTGCTTTTCTGTACAGTGTTTCGCTAATGCAGCAATTTTCAATTATACCCATTCTTCATTTTTTCAAACTTCCTACAATAAATGTATTCACCATTCACTACAAGCAAAGGATGAAAATATTTTAAGGTAAGTAATGTGTGTACTGTATACGCATTTTTAGGCCTAGCTCTATTGCTCACTTAATATATGATAGTGTAAGCATGTTATCAGACTTTTATGTGCCTTTAAAAGTGAAAAAGGCTATGTTTCACTTCACAGTTATTTTTGCTTTACAGCAGAAGCCTGGAACCTAACCTGCTGTATAAGCGGGGTCCGCCTGTTAATACAAACACAAAATTCAACACATCCACTACACTACAGCATATCAATACTGGCAAACAAAATGCAGAATTTATTTCTATACAAAGCCAGGTAAGAATTGCCTTTTACAATGCTTGGTCTGGCTTACCAGAAAAATACAGCTTATTTCAGCCATTACCCTTTATTGACCAACTGCACACAACCACAATACAGAAAAACCAAAGCACACAGAAGAGCAAGCATCCTGTACCTGCGTAACCTGAATTTTGATGTTTTCAAGCTCAGAGTACAATGCGCTAGAGATGCAAGACCTAACATCTAGGTCGCGATCAATCTGAGCACGAATCTGCTCCACTTCGTCATCTAAGGCCATCTGACTCCCAGAAGCATGCATAAAGGATGGAGCTCAAAAGTAGTCCAATAATAATACAACACAGTTTACAAACACAAATGCTAAGATATCTGATTTAATTAAATTTATATTTGTTCATAACAAGCAATTATTTTAATAAAATTTTGGCTAAAATGCCCTATTATTTGTTCAGGTGAGTACAAATAGGAAGTGTGTCTGTGTCGTTCTCAGCAGATGTAGGATCAAGCCTTCACCACATTTTGCACCGAATAACCCACATGGGCTTAGCGCTTAACATATTTGTTATTTGTAACAAAAATTCAGTATAAGAAAATTCCCTGACTTAATTCTCTACTGATTTTTTCAATGTATACACACTAGGTAATTCCAAGTACACTTTTTTTTCTTTTTTTCTTTTGCAGTGGGAGAGGCATGCCTTGCTAGTCAGGTTATGAAAGTTGTATGTTCATTGACTGGAAAGATACAACTGACAAAATACAAAGATAAAACAAAGCAAAAACACAGCAGAATATAGTAAATCCTCAGTTTAATGGACTAATAGGGAGGGAGGGGGGGTGGTGTCCTATACAAAGAATGACTATTTAGTTAAATACTGAGAAAAATATTAATGTTTATAATTCATCCTTAAGAAACTAGTGAATATAAAAAAATGGATAAGTCATTGCCCAGCAGGTATTGTCAATTGTTCACAAAAACCCATGCTTACAAAAAAAATTTGTTCATTCTGATTTACAATAGACTGAAATGGCATCTTAACTTACTTTTTATAAGCATGGGTTTTATCCCTAAATTTTTCCAGCCACATTATTGTGACCTGTGCTCTTCTTGTCTGTTATTTCTAAAGTCTGTTAAATGAAGATTCTCTAAGGTTTTACTATATGTATATATATATAAGGAAAGCCCTCACTTTATAAAGACAAGTGACTCTGGGAAAACTGTACAAACTGAATCCACTGAATAACTTATTAAAATACTGTGGAGTCACCACACATTCAAGGCCAACATCAACTCGTTTTACCTGACAAATTAATGGAAACAACAATATTATATTCCTTCATTTTCCACAGGTTCCACATCCACAAATATACTGATCAAGTGAATTTTGTTTTTCAGTATGCTTATACAGGAAACGGTAAGGGTTGTATTTTAATGGAATTTTCTTAAGTTATCTACAGCCATTCAATGTCATTGCAGATTACCCATTACCCTAAACCTAAAGGATTGCTACTGGAAGTTAGGAGAAAGCAAAAATTTGAGAGAAAAAAAAAAAAACGAGCTAGCAATATTTACATGATTAAGCTACATACGGCAGACTAAAATCTTCAAAAACTCAATGTATTCCATGAACACAAATAAACTTTCATACATGTGAAATGAATGCAGAAGCATAAATAATTTTGTACATCTACTGCTAATAACAGTGAAACAGGTTATTAGTAGCAAAATAAATGAGAAGTTGCAACGAGCATCGACAACCTTATACAATTCTAAAAATAAAGCATTTATGCATCATTCTCAATGTGATTATTAAATATTTATTTATGTTTAAACACTCTCATAGTTCATTTCTCATCTAAAAGATCTAATTTATTTGAAAAATATTTATGGCCAAGAAAACAAATCTGTAGCCAAATTTTCAAAAAAATGTAAATCTGGTAACTCATAGGAAATTACTCGTTCAGATTCTTGGAATTCTATAACCAAATGAAAGGAGCTAAAAGGACACATACGTGAAAAACAATGATGAGATAGGACACTTTATTAAGTATAAAATGTATGGGAGAAGCATTTTATTACTATATTAGTATAAATGCTCATAAAGGTGACCGAGAACAACCGACAAACTTTCCAAAACTTTCTCTGAATAATTTAAGCTAGGTAGGTCCTTGTAGATAGAGATTTATGTACCTGAGTACACTAATAATGCATCATGATTATAAGATTCATTACAGGAGTATTATACATTTTGTAACTTGTTATGTAGCATTGATTGTAACATGGAAAGGAAATCCAAAGTAAGCAAAAGAATATTAATAAAAAATATACCAAAGCCTACAGTGCATTACACTGTATATTAAAATTAAATAAATTGGGAAGAATTCAATGTTATTAGTGTGGAGACTGTAGAAACCATAGATAAATTTTGGCTTGCAACATGTAACGTATACTGTAATATGTTATTCATAAAATTGTAATAAGTTTGATACATATATACATAGTAAAAGAATTCTAAAATTTTCTTACAAGGTCAATTTCATAGCCGAAATGTTCAAGCTCAATCACTAGTGCACTCAGCTCACACTGAGGACTGAGGTTCGATCCCCTGGTACAGTTGGAAAATATTAGGATGTGTTTCCATAAGACACCTGCTATCTATGCTCACCCATTGGTAAAATGGGTACCTGGGTGTTAGTCGACTGGTGTGGGTCACATCCTGGGACAAAACTGACCTAATTTGTTCAAAATGCTCTGCAAAACTAGGAACTTTCTATATAGTAGTATGCCATTGATGTCAGTTAGGCCTGTATACCCTGTATGTGTACTTGTAGAAATAAAGATATTATTATTATTGTTCTTTCTTTCTTTCACCACACCAGCCGTATCCCACCGAGGCGGGGTGGCCCAAAAAGAAAAACCAAAGTTTCTCCTTTTACATTTAGTAATATATACAGGAGAAGAGGTTACTAGCCCCTTGCTCCCGGCATTTCAGTCGCCTCTTACAACACGCATGGCTTACGGAGGAAGAATTCTGTTCCACTTCCCCATGGAGATAAGAGGAAATAAACAAGAACAAGAACTAGAAAGAAAATAGAAGAAAACCCAGAGGGGTGTGTATATATATGCTTGTACATGTATGTGTAGTGTGACCTGAGTGTAAGTAGAAGCAGCAAGGCGTACCTGAAATTTTGCATGTTCATGAGACAGAAAAAAGGACACCAGCAATCCTACCATCATGTAAAACAATTACAGGCTTTCATTTTACACTCACTTGGCAGGACGGTAGTACCTCCCTGGGTGGTTGCTGTCTACCAACCTACTACCTATAATTATTATTGTTATTATTATTATTATTATTCTTTTTTTTTTTTTTTTTTTTCAACAAGTCGGCCGTCTCCCACCGAGGCAGGGTGACCCAAAAAAAAGAAAGAAAATCCCCAAAAAGAAAATACTTTCATCATCATTCAACACTTTCACCACACTCACACATTATCACTGATTTTGCAGAGGTGCTCAGAATACAACAGTTTAGAAGCATATATGTATAGAGATACACAACATATCCCTCCAAACTGCCAATATCCCAAACCCCTCCTTTAAAGTGCAGGCATTGTACTTCCCATTTCCAGGACTCAAGTCCGACTATATGAAAATAACCGGTTTCCCTGAATCCCTTCACTAAATATTACCCTGCTCAAACTCCAACAGATCGTCAGGTCCCAAGTATCATTCGTCTCCATTCACTCCTATCTAACACGCTCACGCACGCTTGCTGGAAGTCCAAGCCCCTCACCCACAAAACCTCCTTTACCCCCTCTTTATTATTATTATTATTATTAATGTTGACATGTATCACCAGGACTATCAGTGATCTTAAAAAATATTCACCTGACTTAAGTTTAATATTCATTAAGTTCTAGCATTAAAGATAAATCTCCATGGGAAAGTAGAAAACAATCCTTCCTTTGTAAGCCATGCATGATATAAGAGATGGCTAAAATGCCAAGAACAAAGGGATAGTAATTCCTTCTGTATACATTACTAAATATAAAAAGAAGAAAAACTCTTTTCTTTTTCAGATCACCTTGCCTCAGTGTAAAACAACTGGTGTGTTAAAAAATGTTTTCTTCTTTGGGTCATGCTGTTAGGGTAAAATATGTTGAAAAATGGATGTTAAAGATAAAATTAGTTTTACTGACCAACGTTTCTTGATCTCTGGCGGCCAGTTGGTGCTCAAGACGATGAACCTCCATAGCATGTTGCTCCCTTAGTTTGCTGAGCTCACATTTATGATGAGTCTTCAGCTCTTTAAGCTCAGCCTAGTAAGATAAAATACATTTATGATGAGTCTTCAGCTCCTTAAGCTCAGCCTAGTAAGATAAAATTAAAGATTAAATACATTTGATCGATGATCTTAGCTCCTTAAGTCACCTGGTGAAGGTTAGATCAATTTAAATTTAGGGAGTAGATCTTCAGCTCCAATTGAAGCTCAGCTAGAAGATAAAAATTATTTAAGTAATTAATCATTTGAAATCAATCATCATACGCTTTTTTTACACTTACTATATCACATGGAGTTGAATGGGTGAGTCCAAATCTGTAATTTATTGCAAATGTGAAGGGTAAACATAGAGAAATTAAATATAAAGAAGCATAGCATTATGAATCCTTACTCCTAAAGTACATACCTCTACATCTGTATTTTTGAACAAACCAACAAGTCTGTTCTTCAGCTCCTGGAGTGTGAGAGACTGTGATTCCATGTGAAGGTTTTGCTCATAACTGTATTGTTCCAGCAACTCCTTATACTGCTGTTCCACCCATGATACTTCTTCTGCCAGAGTTTTCTCCAGAGATGAAACTAGGTCCTCACTATACTTGAGTGCATCTACAAAAAGCATAAGGTGGTATATAATAAGCTAAAAGCACATTATAAATAAAGGAAGTCCTAATTATTATCAAGAGGTAGTACAGTATCTCATTTCTCATACTGAATCAAGAATACAAGAATTTGGAAGGATGTGTGTGTGATAAATAAGAACCTTGATACAATAAAAGTTACCAGATTAAGCTAGAGAAAACCTCATATAGTAAACTAAACAAGGGCTACGCAGGAGTAAAATAACTCCAGGAATCATCAAAATAGTAAGGTATATTCCAAAGTGTATATTAACAGCCAATTTCTCCCCCCACAGCAGTTAACCCAAAATAGGAAAAAAATTCCAGGTGAAATAAATGTTATCTTATACTTAGTAGAATCTTAAATCAAGTACAGAACGGCCATGTTTTAACAGTGCCTTTGCTTCAACGGAGTTTTGCTAATGCAGTAAATTTCAAATTAGACAATTTCTTTATTTATTGACTTCCTGTAGGAAAATCTATTGAAACAAAAATAAAAATAGAAAAAATATTTTAAGTAATATGTGTACTGCATATGGCCTAACTCTATTGCTCACCTAATATAGGATAGTGTAAACATGATATCAGTCTTTAAAATGCATTTGAAAATGAAAAAAGGCTATATTTAACTTCACAATGATTATAGCTTTACAGTAGTAGTCCAGAACCTAACCTGATGTTTAAGAGAGGCCCTCCTGTACTGCTGGGACTAAACTTAGGATGCTAGAGAATGAATCCACTAAGTTACAAATCATTCAATTCACACCACTGTGAAGTTCAGCTTGTAGCTACAATTCTAATGAATAGCATAAATTGCTTTCTAATACTGAAGACATTAAAAAGGAAGGAAATTAAGCATTGAACTGTACATAGTTTAAAATATACTAATATGTTAATAAATGCCAAAGGGTACCTATCAAAATTTCGGTGTAATCTGACAGCTTATCAAATACTGCATTAATAACAAAGTGAGGTAGAAGTAATGAGTGAAGATTTTCACAGAAGTGCAAAAAGAAATATAAATGTATCAGCAAGAAAAACACTAACATGCATGTAACACTATAACAACACTATACCTGAGAGAGTGGTCACACTCCTCAGATCCTCCAAATGTTCTTGGCAAATATTGTGTAACTTTGCTTTGTTATCCTCCAGAATCTTGTGGACCATCATCATCTGATTTTTGAGAATCTGAAGCTAAGAAAAATACTAAACTTTAGAATATTATTCAGATCAGAGAAATATGTACTAGCAATATTAATTTGATAACTTAACTAAAAATCCCCAGAATTTAAAATTGATTGCATACAGGAAAATTCAGCTAAATATTACAGCTGTAAATTTCTTTCCCAGTAACAATGGCAAATTTCCTCTAAATAATGTATTTTAACATTAATCAGTTACTCATTTCATAAAAGATGGTTTTCCAATACACAAACTAGATCATTCTTTAAAATTGTGTCATTCTGTCTCACATTCTCACATAACACAAACAAATATTCAAATCTTTCTAAATCCCATTTCGATTTTCAGTTCTGATTAATCATCCATCTCCTGTTGCCTCTGTCTTTTAAGCACTTAATGCTGTTTTATTTTTCTTAAAGAACATCTGTATCTGTTACACCTGTTTTCTTAATTCGTATCTACCTTAGATTACAAATAATTACTGAAAGTGACTAATCTTATAGATATACCTGGAGTATACCTGAAGGGGGTTTCAGGGGTCAATGCCCCCATGGTGGATCAGGGTCTGATCAACCAGGCTGCTGCTGTTGGCCGCATGCAACCTGACGTATGAACCACATCCCAGCTGGTCAGGTACTGACTGTAGGTGCTTGTCCAGTGCCTTCTTGAAGACAGCCAGGAGTCTATTGGTAATATCCCTTATGTATGCTGGGAGGCAGTTGAACAGTCTTGGGCCCCTGACACTTATTGTGCTGTCTCTTATTATGCTAGTGGCACCCCTGCTTTTCATTGGGGGGACGTTGAATCGTCTGCCAAGTCTTTTGCTTTCAAAGAGAATGATTTTCATGGGCAAGTTTGATACTAATCCCTCTAGGATTTTCCAAGTGTATATAATCTTGTATCTCTCCCACCTGTGTTCTAAGGAGTACAGGTTGAGGAACTTCAAGCGTTCCCAGTAACTGAGGTGTTTTATCGCAGCTATGAGTTCTGTGAAGGTTCTCTGTACATTTTCTAGATCAGCAATTTCACCTGCCTTGAAAGGTGCTGTTAGTGTGCAGCAATATTCCAGCCTAGATAGAACCAGCAACCTGAAGAGTGTCATCATGGGCTTGGCATCCCTAGTTTTGAAGGTTCTCATTATCCATCCTGTCATTTTTTTAGCAAATGCGATTGATACAACGTTGTGGTCTTTGAAAGTGAGATCCTCTGACATTATCACTCCTAGGTCTTTTACATTAGTTTTTCACTCTATTGTGTGGTTGGAATTTGTTTTATACTTCAATATAGTTTTAATTCCCTCACATTTTCCATATCGGAGTAACTTAAATTTCTCATCATTGAACTTCATATTGTTTTCTGTGGCCCATTTAAAGATTTGGTTGATGTCCACCTGAAGTCTTGCAGTGTTTTCAATGGAGAACACTGTCAAGCAAATTCAGGTGTCATCTGCAAAGGAAGACACGGTGCTGTGGCTTACATCCCTGTCTATGTCAGATACGAGGATGAGGCACAGGATGGGAGCAAGTACTGTGCCTTGTGGAACAGAGCCGTCTCAGACTTTACTCTGTTTACTACTACTCTTAGTGTTCAAATTGTTAGGAAATTATAGATTAATACACATTTCATACAATTTTTTTAAAAATATGTAAAATGTTACAATCTACTGAAAAATTTGCCAAAACAAGATTTTATTGCAATTTCAACATTTCAGAACACTTTAAAACTTTTTTAAAAAATTCCCGCAGTGGTTAAAACTTTTTTTTAACCACTGCGGGAATTTTTTGAACTGTAACTCAACAGCGATCTCTCGCCAAAGCAATGACCCAATGAAGCAAGCAAAGTTTAGTATCATTCAGTTAACTGCCATCTTGCCAGCAGAGTTCTGACATCACAATTTATATTATCCTCTGACTGCAACATCCTGACCCCTCCTTCAGAGTGCAGGCACTGCCCAGATAAAGAATTTATCTGGGCAGTGCCTGCTGGTGCTACCTTCTTTTGAAAATAATACTTTGAGAGAAGTATCAGCTAGCCAAATCATAATCTTCATAATGTAGTCTCTAATCTTCCACTATTTTTCATTGAATAATAAGCACTTTCTTTAAAATTTCATATAAACTCTAACTTAGGTAGTAGGTTGGTAGACAGCAACCACCCAAGGAGGTACTACCGTCCTGCCAAGTGAGTGTAAAACGAAAGCCTGTAAATGTTTTACATGATGGTAGGATTGCTGGTGTCTTTTGTCTGTCTCATAAATATGCAAGATTACAGGTTCCTGCCTACTTTCTGTACTTGACTGAAGAAGCCTACTGTGTAGGCGAAACGTTTCGGAATAAAGCTGTCTAACTGTTGCATATGTGTCTTAGCTAACAACATTACAGGTACGTCTTGCTACTTCTACTTACACTTAGGTCACACTACACACACGTGTACAAGCATATATATACACACCCCTCTGGGTTTTCTTCTATTTTCTTTCTAATTCTTGTTCTTGTTTATTTCCTCTTATCTCCATGGGAAAGTGGAACAGAGTTCTTCCTCCATAAGCCATGCGTGTTGTAAGAGGCGACTAAAATGCCGGGACCAAGGGGCTAGTAACCCCTTCTCCTGTATATATTACTAAATTTAAAAGGAGAAACTTTAGTTTTTTTCTTTTGGGCCACCCTGCCTCGGTGGGATATGGCTGGTACGTTGAAAGAAGAAGAAACATTCAAGATTTCAGGTACGTCTTGCTACTTCTACTTACACTTAGGTCACACTACACATACATGTTTTTTTTTTTTTTTTTTTTCACAAGTCTTGTCTTGTTTTCCCACCGAGGAAGTGGAACAAACTTTTAAATGTTATAAGAAAATCCCCAGAGAAAATTACTTTCATCGGATTCTTTCTAACCTTTTGACCACCCACTGACGCCTTTGAGAAAAAGTAATTATCAGGGTCCCCGTCCGATATAATTCGTCTAGAGTCAAGCATACCAAATATAAAGATAACAATCTATCCCTCCAAGAAAATGAAATGCCAAATAATCCTGCAAGACCCCCTATTGAAAAAAACTTGTAGCAGGAATATATTCCATTATCCATGAATGGATACAATACCAAACATATGAAAATAACATGAAATGTTATCTCCTGACCCTTCATAAAATTACCTGTCGAATTGAGGGGGGGGGGAGTGTGACTCTGTTAAAAAATCCTCCATAGCTTAGGTCCGCAAGTCCTTTCGTATCTCCATTTCACTTATCTAACAGCTGAGTCACGGCACGTTCTGTCGCACAACATGTCCAGAGCTCCCTTCGCCTTACTAAAGTACAACATTCAGTGTATACAAGCATGCTATACACAACCCCTCTGGGTTTTCTTCTAATTTTCTTCTAACATCTTGTCTTTCATTTCCTTATTTATGGAAGTGGAACAAGGAATTCTCCTCCTAGCCATGGCGTTAGTAAGAGGCGACTAAATGCCCAGACCTCAAATATTTTACTAAATTTACAAGTGAGCAAACTTTACCCTTTTTCCGTTTGGGCCACCAGCTCGGTGGGGCATGGTGACGTTATTTTGAAGAAAACAAGCGAACATATTCGATATAATAATGATTCATTTCCTTAGTTGGCCACCCACACTGTGGTTGGTAAAATGCCGGCGGTGTGTTGATGAAAGAAAGTAAGAATTAAACTCTAATACCAGTGATCCCGTTTTGCGATATTAATTCGTTCCTGAGAGTTTATCGAAACCAAAATTATCGAAAAGGGAATCAATTTTCCCCATAAGAAATAATGGAAATCAAATTAATCCGTGAAAGACACCCAAAAGTATGAAAAAAAAAACTTTTACCACATGAAATATTAAGTTTAATGCAATAGAATAATTACAATAACAACAATAACAATAGAATAATTGATACTTACCTTTAATGAAGATCTGGTGATGATTGATGGGATGGGAGGAGGGGAGAGTGTTGAACCTACTGTTTAGAAGGGAAATCCCCCTCCATTAGGACTTGAGGTAGCAAGTTCTTTTCTGGGGTTACTTCCCTTCTTCTTTTAATGCCACTAGGACCAGCTTGAGAGTCACTGGACTTCTGTCGCACAACATATCTGTCCATAGAGGCCTGTCCCTCTCGTTCCTTTATGACTTTCCTAAAGTGGTTCACAACATTGTCAGTGTAATAGTCACCAGCATGGCTTGCAACAGCTGTGTTAGGATGATTTTCATCCATAAAGGTTTGCAGTTCAACCCACTGTGCACACATTTCCTTAATTTTTGAAGTAGGCACAATGGATTCCACAACTGGCATAGGCTTCTCAGGGTTAGCCCCAAACCCTTCAAAATCTTTCTTAATTTCCATACTAATTCTCACCCTTTTTACCACAGGGTTGGCACTAAAAGCTTTCTTGGGGCCCATGGTGACTTATTTTGCAGAAACAAGCAGCAAAAACAGCGATAATATGGATAATATGGAATGTACCGAATGTATCCTTAGATGCGCACACACTGGCTGGCTTGTAAACACTGGCACACACGGGGCAGTTCAGGCCACACGTGGACACGTCGCGTACGAATCGTATTGCATACCGGGTTTTGTAACGGGAACCGAGGCAAATTTTTTTTCGATATAATGCATCGGATACCGGATTTATCGGATACCAATAGCATCACGTACCAGGGGTCCACTGTACAAAACTGAAGATTTTTGTACTAATATTCTGCTAGCTAAGGCAAATTATAAAGACCAGTATATATAGAGAATAAGAGAGGGAACTACAAAGCAACTGGAATGTGACAGAAATAAAGCAGGATAACAAACCTAGTAAATACTAGTCAAAAAATGGCCGAAGAATTCCAAACAAGTGTGTACCTGTTTTCAAGGAAAGGTTCATTGAGAGCCCACAGTTCAATTGATAATGCAAGACTGCAAAAATCAGTAACATAAAAAAACTTCAGAAAATATGCAATTACACTTTACATTATAAATAACACATGCAAGGGAACCAAAAACTGCCATGTATAGTACATCCAAAAAAAGAAAGCAGAAAAATAATTCAAAATCTGCCACAGAACCGAAAGTAAAAACATAAGTGAAGCTACATCACATCCACAGAGTAAAAATGTCAGAAAAGTCAATGGGTTCCTCACAGGTAAGTGTTATAGATGTATTGTGAGACTTGTATATAAAAAAAAACTGCACTTGGACCTAAAGTCAAGCAGGTGCAAAACCTAAATTTTTGGAGTAAAGTCCATTTCAGCAATGCCACTTTGAAGGAGGGATGGAGATATGCTGCAATTGTTTAATTGTAGTGTCGACATACCTCTGGCAAGACAGTGATGGAGTGAGTGATGATGAAATTGTTTCTACTTTTTTGGGTGGGAAATGTCTGATGTTAAAAAAAAAAAAATCTCACTTCTTGGTCCCCATTCCCTTGCCACTATTCCCCCACCGTCTCACTAACCCTTCCCATGCCTTACCACCCACCACCACCACTCACTTTCTAGGAACATCAGCCTAGCACATACCAAAGGCTTATATACAACAGTTAAGCATTACGTCAAACCTTCTCTGAGAGTGCTTCTTGATAGATGTTGGTGGTGACCTCCATAAACTCTTGTACAAACTGTTGCTTAACATCCCCTTGGAGGCTAGTGTCATCTGGTGTGGAGGCTTTCGAACCATCTTCATTCTCCTTTGCTACTACTTTTAGAGTAGTTAACTTAATCTGTATAAATATTAAGTACAACTTCAGAATACAATAGAGATGCCATCATAAAAACATCTCAGAAAATAAATAATATAAATCTTCAAAATTAACTTATGTATTGTACGTGGGAGAAAATTGAAATGCTGTACTGTAATGTAGTTCTTGCGTAAAAAATCATATATCAACTATATTATTTCACATAACTCATTCTCCTGTAGCAAAATTTGATTCCTTGCAAATGATTTTAAGCAAATTTCTCAATATTCACTATTTAGTTAAGGTTAGATTGAGTTAGGTTCAAATATTGTCTATAGGCAAAATTTAACCAATTATAAGATACCATAACACCAATAAATTCAATAATACATAAAGTTAAAAACTTTTAAGTGCATACACACACACACACACTAAGTGCATGTCAGACAGCCATATAACTGTTTTCATTGCAGTGCTACAGTCACACACTTTTGAAATTCTAAGACAAAGTGATATACTGACATGGATTAGAAGGATGCATGGCTATATACAGACATACAGCACATCACGTGCAGAGATATAGAAAACACATCATTAAAATTAAATGCAATACTGTTTAATATGGACCACAGATGTAATACAAAAGATGAATAAATAAAAATAGTACACTATATGCTATAACAACCTGCCAATTCACTGTTCAGTAATGGTTTAAGGTGTATCTGCTCTAATGAAATAGGTATACATGTACTGCCTTTTGAAAATTGTTAATGGTTCAAGGTATATCTTTTTTTTTTTTTTTTCAACAAGTCGGCCGTCTCCCACCGAGGCAGGGTGACCCAAAAAAGAAAGAAAATCCCCAAAAAGAAAATGCTTTCATCATCATTCAACACTTTCACCACACTCACACATAATCACTGTTTTTGCAGAGGTGCTCAGAATACAACAGTTTAGAAGCATATACGTATAAAGATACACAACATATCCCTCCAAACTGCCAATATCTGCCCTAATGAATAGGTCTACTGCCTTCTGAAATACTGAACTTAATCTCAACTATTTAGACAGAATTAGAGGTATCTAGAATGTAGCAGATAGCCTCAATATAAACTGTGGAGTCTCTAGCTATCAGCCTTTCCTAAGTTCTCATCTGTGATGATTTTCTCATATAGGATATGGATCTTCTATGAAAACATTAAATTTTATGAAGATTTATTGAAAAATATTGGCAGTTTGGAGGGACATCTAAACTGTTGTATCTGGGCGCCTCTGCAAAGACTGATTTTGTATGAGTAATGGTGAAAGTGTTTAATGATGATGAAAGTTTTTTCTTTCTTTTTGGGTCACCCTGCCTTGGTGGGAAATGGCCGATGTGTTAAATAAAAAAATAGAGGATTTTTTGAGAATTCTACGAAGATTTTAATGAAAATAGGCAACTAAAGCTTGCAGATGGCTGTCCAATATGGGTACTGAAGCCCAGAAGCTCAAAAACAAATATAGCTGGACATAGTGTGCAAGTTTGCAAAGATCTTGAATGTAAAGTATATGAGTAATTTCTATGAAGCATTGCCATCAGTGGCAAACTAACTCTTGATGAGAGTACACAGCCTCTTTTCCCTAAACATACAGAGGTATAGACAGACACGTGAGCAAACACTAGGACATATTAGAAAACGTTTCAGTCCTGGCACCTTGATCACTTCTAAAAAGGTCCCAGGGCTGGAATGTTTTCTAATAAATATGTCCTAGTGTTTGCTCACATGTCTTTCTAAACCAATTGGTCAGTATCTATTACCAAGGTTTATACCACGCAGAGGTGTAAATCTCTCAACTCTACAAAATATTCACAATTTACAGTATAACAGTTCCCCCCATATCTGTGGGTGATATGCTACAAAACCTACCATGGATACCCGAAACTGCGGACCTTATATACAAGTACGTAGTTGTATATACAAGTAGCAAACCGTATATACAAGTAGCAAACCGTATATACAAGTAGCAAACCGTATATACAAGTCGTTTTTCTTTTATATACATACCCATTATAAAATTTAATTGATAAATTACATACAATAAGGCATTACCAACATTAAATAATAATAAAATACATTGTACATTATTATACTTCATGAATGAAAGATTCATTCTTGTTGTACATCTTAGCAACCTCAGCATATGATTTTTTTCTTTTTAGGAAGTACAGCAGGGCCCCGCTTTACGGCGTTTCACTTTACGGTGTTCCGCTAATACGGTCATTTCAAATTATGACCAAAACTCGCTATACGGCTCCCCCACCTGACTTTCTAATACGGTCACCGCCCGCCACCCTGTTTGTTTACATTCTTCGTGAGCTCAGTAAACACTAAGTTTCTCCATTTTGTCTGGAAACTCCAAAATTTCAAATGTTTTTAAAAGTTATTTCATATTTTATATATACTCTGATAATTATACTTATGTATACCTGTTCTTAAATAAACTTACATACTGTGCTGGCATGCAGGTACACATTAAAATCAGTAAGAGTGTCTTATGTCTCCAGACGTCATATTAGTAATGATAATAATAATCATCGAGTCTCATTTAAATGTCATATATTACGTTAAATACACATTTTCATTAATCCATCCATGATATTTTTTTCAAAATTATATAATAAACACGATACATAACATAAAAAGATGATAAATACACCCCACAATAGAATAAATAAACATAAATATGAGATGTGGTAGCCAGATAACTTGCACAAGTGATGCCAAGAATAACATTTTCTCTAATCTAACATAAGAGAAAATGTGTTACTGGGGGTAACTGTAGAAAATTATTCCTTTCGTATGTATGTAAGTTTATTCAGGTATACACAAATACAGTTACATAGATTATCATACATAACAACATATGTGTAGAGAACCTAGGATAACCCAAAAAAGTCAGTGACTTATTTCCATTGCCTTCACTCAGAGCATCATTTCTTCTCAAAATGATGTTACATGAGAATGGGAGTGTTCTTCTTTATTTATTCTACCGTATCAATGTAGAGACAACCTGTACACAATGTAATTTGTACACAAACCAGACGTGTACACTTTGTTTACAAAACTTACCTTCGCCTGGTTTGTTTACATAACTCTGTGCCTGTACTCTCTCATGCACTCATTCTTTCTCTCTCTCATTTATTCGTTTTATCTCATTTACTTACTCCTGACCCTACATTAAGACTACAAATATTTTAAGGTAAGTAATGAGTGAACTGTATATACATTTTATTGCTCTGGGATGCTTAAATGTAATAGAATATTATGTGTAGGTGGGTTGGCCTGGTATGGTAGCCTGGCTGACTACCATACATACCACACTTGATTTTTTACAATAAATACTACTCATCTCACCCAATATTTTAAGGTAAGTAATGAGTGAACTGTATATACATTTTATCGCTCTGGGATGCTTAAATATCATAGAATTGTATGTGTGGGTGGGGTGGTCTGGTATGGTAGCCTGGCTGACTACCATACATACCACACTTGATTTCTTACAATAAATGCTACTTGTCTCACCCTAGATTAAGACTATAAATATTTTAAGGTAAGTAATGAGTGCACTATGTGTGTATTGTACTTTTTTATTGTTTTTTGATGCCTGGTTCTATTGCTAACTTAATATATGTTAGTGTAAACTTGTTATCTAGTGTTTGTATGCATTTGTAAGTGGAAAAAAAGGGTGTTCCACTTTACAGCGGTTTCCGCTTTACAGCGGTAGCCTGGAACCTAACCAGCCGTATAAGTGGGGCCCTACTGTACTTCATGGCTTCTCTTAAGAACTGAAAAACTGCCAGCATGACTACTTTTGCAAAATTAAGGGTTATTTAGGACCATGGTAAACTGCAGATAACTGAACTGCAGAAACGGAATCCGCAGATATGGGGGTTCTACTGTACTGCTATCAAACATGACAACAACATTCCAGTACAAACCAAATCATCAAGCTCGTGCTTGATACACGTTGTTCGTAACGACACAGCTGCTTCTAACTGCTCTACAAATTCTGTGGAAAAAAAGAATCAGTCACAAACTGCCTACAGATATGCATGTTTTTTAAGCAGCATCAGCCATCTTCTATGAAGATAAGAGCAACCCATTGAAGGAAACACATTCACCTTCACTTGCATAATGTTCAAGTGAACAGACTTTACAATTCAGATGTTATGTAAATGGTCTAGAAAACTGTCAAGTTGAAGAATGAGACACTTGTGCAACATTTGAGAATCTTTCTTGTGGAAACATTTTACCAGGAAGTGGCTTCTTCAGTCCAATACAGAGAAGAACAGTGGAAGATTAGTAGGTACTCAGTCCCTCAGTTTGGAGTCGATGTATTCAGTCCCTCAATCTTCTACGCTTATGCTGTACTCTTCTCAAAAAAGATTACAAATGTTGCACAAGTGTCTTATTCTTAACTACAATTCAATTGACTCCCTGAATTACAACCTCCCCACCAATATAATTATGTATGTGTGGCCAAAAATATTAATGCATACAGTAATCATAATTATATACACCTACCATCCGACTTACGACCGGGTTTAGTTCCAAGAAACCGGTCGTAAGTCGAAATGGTCGTAAGTCGAACTTTACTACTGAATATCAACAAAACATTTTTGTAATGACTTTATTTTATTGTTTCATTTTGGTATTTCATGTTTTACTTTACTTTTTATGTTGTTAGTACTGTATTTATACTGTAAGGTTTAGGATAAACACTGTGTACAACACAAATACTTGTTTATTTCCCAGAAATTTGGCATAAAAAACACGGTCGTAAGTCGAGTGGTCGTAAGTCGAGCAGGTCGTAAGTCGGATGGTAGGTGTATGTACCAGAAAAAGAACAGTACTGTACATTTGATGCATCCCTCATTTGTGTCAATATTCCAGGATTATGTGAGAAACTGGTAAGCACCATATGTAGGCAGACCCCACTTTACAGTATTTTGCTTTATGGTGTTTTGCTAATGCAGCAGTTTTCAATTATACCCATTCCTCATTTATTCAGACTTCCTACAACAAATATGTTCACCACTCACTACAAGCAAAGGACAAAATTATTTTAAGTAATGTGAGTACTGTATATGCATCTTTTATAGGCCTAGCTCTATTGCTAACTTAATGTATGATAGTGTAAACAAGTTTTTTATGCATTTGAAAGTTAAAAAAGACTATGTTTCACTTTACAGCAATTTTTGCTTTGCAGCAGTAGCCCAGAAACTAACCTGCTGTATAAGTGGGGTCCACCTGTATGTGCAAAATAACCACAGTGAAAAATGGTGAAATTCAAAGCACTTTGGTAATTTCTCCCATTAGCAAGAAGGCCTATAAGGTTAAGATATGACCACACACATGACAACATGCTGAGCATCGAAGTGTAGTGAAGATCTGGTCAAGTCACATGTCAAGTACAAAATTTTTTACAAGTGACATGTCAGGGAGAGTTTAAATTCTTCACAAATTCTGTTCATTATAAATGAATCCAACTCACCATTTGCAGCTTCTACAAGAGTATTTCTTGCATTGATGAGATGCTCCACCTTATCTGTGATGCTCTTTACCTCTTCATCATGGATGCCATCGTGGTGAATGTCAATATTATCTTCTGATAATGATATGTTCTTCAGCAAATCCAGAAGAACTGCTGGCAGAGTAACTTGAAGGGATTTTGTTATGTCTTTATCCAATTTTGCCAAGAGACTCTTCACAATCCCCATATACTGTCCACCTACATTCTGTAAACAAAAAATAAAAATTACAAGTATGTAATTAACCTACTGACTCATGAAATCATAATAACATGACTGTAGACAATTCACAGACTGCCAAGGGTTACAACTTACCAAGGGTTACAACTCCCCATGAACTGCATTACCAAAGGTTACAATCTCCCCATGGACTGAATTACCAAAGGTTACAATCCCCCCATGAACTGCATTACCAAAGGTTACAACCCCCCCATGAACTGCATTACCAAAGGTTACAATCTCCCCATGGACTGCATTACCAATGGTTACAACCCCCATGAACTGCATTACCAAAGGTTACACTCTTCCCATAGACTGAATTACCAAAGGTTACAACCCCCCATGAACTGCATTACCAAAGGTTACAACCCCCCCATGAACTGCATTACCAAAGGTTACAACCCCCATGAACTGCATTACCAAAGGTTACAACCCCCATGAACTGCATTACCAAAGGTTACAATCCCCATGGACTGCATTACCAATGGTTACAACCCCCATGAACTGCATTACCAAAGGTTATAACCCTCAATTAACTGCCTTACAACAAGTTAAACCCCATTAGTTCTAAGTTATTCCATGTATTGATGTTTAATGCTACAACTGATGACAAGACAGGCATAGATAATACAAGTTACATTACCATGGTTACAACAATTTACAGTTGTAAATAGTGTGATAAAACAAACACTGTGGAAAAGGGCACTTACTAAAAGAAACAACAACAAAAGAAACATTTTCCCATACACACACAGCTCACACATAGGAGAATGAAAATTATGATAATGTTTTGGTCTGACTTTGACCATTATGTCGGACCGAAACGTCGTCAAAAATGGTCTCCTATGTGCAGGTTATTTGTGTATTGTTCAAGTCAAGGTTTTGTAGCTTTTCTTCTTCCTAAACATTTTGTCCTGAGTGGCTTCATTATATTCCTAATGACTGATGAATCCACTAGGGGCAAAACGTTTCCTCTTCCACAGTTCACAATTAACCCACACTCTGGAAAGGAAACATTATGTGATTTTTCATCGCATCCTGGACCATTACCAAGTTGTAACTAGATAATGGTTCAAAATGAACCGAAATAACTGGTTAATACTTTCTCTCTTCAGTGTGGGTTAAGTGTGAGTAGGTAACAAAAATTAATTACTACTAATGAATGGGGAATCTGACACTACATGTAATAAGAACTAATAAAAAACAGAGCCAACATGTGCAATATTTTTTTTTAGCACTCCAGACGTCCCCATCGAGGTTGGGTGACCCAACAAATTAGAAAACAGTTTCACTATCATTCACCCCATCACTGTCTTGCCAAAAAAAAGCATGCAGATACTACAGCTCAGGTGACCCTCCAAACTGCAACATCCTCACCTCTTTTTCAGGATGAAAACACTGCACTTTCCACCTCCAGGGCTCTAAGTCCGCCTAACGGATTTTCCTGAATCCAACCGTACCATGAGCGGGGACTGAACCATGAATTCCATCCCCACCCATGGTATGGTTTGTTTGCAATCGTGTCGTTACAATTTCCTGAGTTCCCCAAATCCCTTCATATATGTTGCCTTGCTCACACTCCAACAGAACATCAAATCACAAAAACCACTTGCCTCCACTTACTTATTCTAACATGCGCACACAAGCCTGTTGGATGTCCAAGCCCCTCACACACAAAACCTTCTTTGCCCCCCTCCCTCCAACCTTTCCTAGGACAAACATAATTTATTTTAATTTAAAATAACTTAACCAATTTCAACACTTCGTTGTTTAACATCTTTCATATTCTCCAATAATAAAGCAATGTTAATTTTATTCAAATTTCTGAAAATTATTATTATCATTAAAAATGAAACATGCGCTGATACTCGTCAATATAGCACACCATTATCAGATTATTATTTAAAAAATGAAACATACTTGTTGATACTTGTTAATATTGCATACCATTATTATCAGATTATTATTATTTAAAAAAAAATGAAACAGACTTGTTGATCATTGTCAATACCGTATACATGTACTATTATTATTATTATTATTATTATTATTATTATTATTATTATTATTATATAAAAATGACTGACAGGTTGCAGAAAAACCCTTTTAACTTTCCACTCATAAATGAGAGGTAAACAAGTATGGCACAAACAGTGCATAATTAAGTCAAACCCTGATGAATGCTAAAAAAAAAAAAAAACAATGGTTGACATTCACCAGAAATGTCTATTTCTACACTGTGATTCTTGCCCTCACAGCAACATGCAACAACAGAGGAAGCAACAGTAACAGCAAATTACAAGAGAAACAGGGAAGCAACAGTAACAGAATTTGAAGAGAGAGAAAAGCAAGAGTAACTGAGAATTAGAAGAGAAACAGTAAAACAATAACAAGAACAGTGATAAACAGGTAAAGAAAATCAAGAACAGTGATACAAAATAGGAACAATGGTAAAGAACAAGAACAATTTAGAAGGAGAGGTGTAAACAACCTCATCTGTTAGTGTGTGGGTTATTATAGTGTAGAGGGAAGGTGATAAAGGAGAGAGGAAGGTGATGCTGGAGAGGGAGGTGATGGAGGGAGGTTATGGAGGGAGGTGATGGAGGGAGGTTATAGAGAGAGGTGATAAAGGAAGGAGAGGGAGATGATGGAGAGGTTTTACAGGGAGGTGATGGAGGGAAGTTACAGAGGGAGGTGATGAAGGAAGGAGAGGGAGGTGGTAAAGGAGAGGAAGGTGATGAAGGAAGGAAAGGGAGTGTATGAAGGAGAGAAGGTTATTGAGGAGGAAGAGGGATGGAGGTGAGTGGAAGAGGAAACAAGGTGATGGAAGGAAGGAAGGAAGGAAGGAAGGAGTGAATAAACGAAGAGACAAAGTGATGTTTAAGGAATAGGGTGAGTGTAAGGGAGGGGAGAAGCCAGTGTTGGTGAGGGAAAGAGAAGGTGATGATAAGGGAGGGAGGGAGGGAAGGTGAGGGAGGTGTGGCTGGCTTGAAGAGGAGCTATCACCAGTGTACCACACCCTCTCCCTCCCTCCATCTCCCATCTCCTCCTTCCCTCTCTGTCTCCCTCATCAGATCTCCACCTCTATCACCATCCAATATTCATTACCTGCCTGTCCATGTTCTCTACCTTCTTCTCCCAACCCCCTTCCCTGGTGTGTGGGTTGTGGTGATGGCAGGTGTGTGGGTTGTGGTGATGGCAGGTGTGTGGGCTGTGGTGATGGCAAGTGTGGGGCTGTGGTGATGGCAAGTGTGTGGGCTGTGGTGATGGCAAGTGTGTGGGCTGAGGTGATGGCAGGTGTGTGGGCTGTGGTGATGGCAGGTGTGTGGGCTGTGGTGATGGCAGGTGTGTGGGCTGTGGTGATGGCAGGTGTGTGGGGTGGGCTGTGGTGATGGCAGGTGTGTGGGCTGTGGTAATGGCAGGTGTGTGGGCTGTGGTGATGACAGGTGTGTGGGCTGTGGTGAGAGCAGGTGTGTGTGTATGGAAGGAATTATGGGACATTCACTCCAATGTTATGGCTCATCTCCAGGCAGTTCAATGTATCTAAAATGTGCCACCCACCGATGATCAATGTTACAATGCACACATAAAAGTAGGAAAAATAAACACAAAGCACGCACACATGCACACACACACACACACACACACACACACACACACACACACACACACACACGTTCATGGAGCAGGGAGAGAATGGACCTAGTAGCAACCAGCGAAGAGGCGGGGGCAGGAGCTGTCACTTGACCCCTGCAACCACAAATAGGTGAGTACACACACACACACACACACACACACACACACACACACACACACACACACGATGTGAGGTGAACACCCGTCAATCACAGCCTGGAATAAATGAGGTCTCTGCCTGTTTACATTGAAGGGAGAAGAGCAGTATGTGTGACTGGTACATAACCTTCATTTAGGAGATTGGAACTTATGAAGATGTTTCGGTCCGACTTGAACCATTAATTAATGTAGCAAAGTATAGAAGGTAAACATTTGCATGGCAAGTTATTTGGATAATAAGGAAAATACAACCGAGTCAATGAGCGGCCCAGATGGCAGTGAGGGAACCCCAAGTTTTATAAACCTCTAAATAATGCAAATGTCACAAAAAGGTGAGTATACACAGGAAGGATGTCTGTCTTATGTTCAGCAGACGGAGGATCAAGCCTCCACCACATCTTACACTGAATGACATGTATTGGCCTAGTGCTTAACACTTCAAATGCCCAAACGTAGATCTACGTTTGCACCGCTAGCACTCCAAACATGGATCTATGTTTGCACCGCTAGCACTCCAAACATGGATCTATGTTTGCACCGCTAGCACTCCAAACATGGATCTACGTTTGCACCGCTAGCACTCCAAACATGGATCTATGTTTGCACCGCTAGCACTCCAAACATGGATCTACGTTTGCACCGCTAGCACTCCAAACATGGATCTACGTTTGCACCGCTAGCACTCCAAACATGGATCTACGTTTGCACCGCTAGCACTCCAAACATGGATCTACGTTTGCACCGCTAGCACTCCAAACATGAATCTACGTTTGCACCGCTAGCACTCCAAACATGGATCTACGTCTGCACCGCTAGCACTCCAAACATGGATCTACGTTTGCACCGCTAGCACTCCAAACATGGACCTACGTTTGCACCGCTAGCACTCCAAACATGGACCTACGTTTGCACCGCTAGCACTCCAAACATGGACCTACGTTTGCACCGCTAGCACTCCAAACATGGACCTACGTTTGCACCGCTAGCACTCCAAACATGGACCTACGTTTGCACCGCTAGCACTCCAAACATGGACCTACGTTTGCACCGCTAGCACTCCAAACATGGACCTACGTTTGCACCGCTAGCACTCCAAACATGGACCTACGTTTGCACCGCTAGCACTCCAAACATGGACCTACGTTTGCACCGCTAGCACTCCAAACATGGACTACGTTTGCACCGCTAGCACT